ACAAGAGACCCTCGGACATCCCTTCGCGATTCTCCGGCTCCAAGTCCGGCTCCACGGGCACGTTAACCATCACTGGGGTCCAAGCCGACGACGAGGCTGTCTATTACTGTGGTAGCTACGACAGCAGCAATGCTGGTGCCACAGTGACGCAAAGCAATGGGGAAGTGATACAAAAACCTCCTGCCATCGCAGGGGCCAGTGAGGAGTCTCTGCTGTCCCTGTTTGATGGTGGTGCAGGTCCCCACCATGGCCCCGCTCTGTGCTGCAGGTGGCTGTGCCCGGTGTCGCAGCTCAGCTGTCCCTTAGAGCCCCAGATCTGGGTCCATCCCGTGTCATTTGGGGAGAGGATGACCCCCAGCAGCCCTGTCCTTGCCCTGCACTGCGGGTGTAAGGTCCCCTGCACTCCCTGGCTGGCACCCAGGGCCCTGCTGGGCGCCTCCCTGCCCTCCTCCCAGCCCAGCTCTGCCAGAGCCCCCGGGCACTGGGCGCCTGCTCCCCCCAGCCAGTGCTGATTTTAGCCAATAAAGGAAGCGGTTTCTGGGGGTAGATGTTTGCACAAGCCATGCCAGGGCAGTTTCAGAACGGTTTATGCTGCAAGGCTGCTCATCACATCCTACCCTTTCCCTTCTCGTTCACTTCCAGGCATGTGTGGGCAAGCCACGTGGCAGCAGCGGGAGAGTGCCTGGCGTGGCCTCTGCTGCTCAGCCCCAGCAGCTGGGACACAGCAGTTGTGCGTAGCCTCCCCAGTTCCTCCCCAGACCAGCACCCCCTCACCTGCCACTGCTCCCGCCGAGGCCATGTGCCAGGCAGGTGCTGAGGGGCCAACACCCCTGGTACATCCAGCACAGCATTGGTTCTCCTCCATGCCTCCCTCCAAGGAGAACAGCTGGACTTTCAAGCTGAACATTGTCCCCCTTTATTGTCCTCCCCTAAAATGGAACCGAAACCCCATCAAAGTCTGAGGAATGCTCAGAAACTGGTCGTCCACAATAGATGGCATCAGCTTCAGCTAAATGCTTTGCATAGACAATTTCAGTGATTTTTTTTTTTTTTTGGCTAGTTTGCAGCCTTTGCACCGAGCCTACCCAGAGGCAAACCAAACCTCTGAAACAGAAAGTGCCTTGAACCACAAAATCTTTGAAGCATCATTTATTTTCTAGTGATTCAGGAGGTTCACTGACTCTGCCTCTTTCTATAACCACTTGCACAAACCACAGCATTTGAATATTGTCGAGTTCAATTTAAGTTGGTGCTATTGACCGTCCTCAGTAAGTTGCTCAGATGCTCACACATGGTCTTTACAGTGCCAGGGGCTGTATAGGCTCTTCCTGGGATTTGGGGTGTTGTGTTTTTTCTTTCTTCAACTTCTCCATTTGGTTACAGTAGCGTGTCCTCCATCTGTCTAACCGCACTGAAACATATTCATGTGCCTTTCCTTGACAGAAGGAAACAAGGTTTTATGGGCTAATTCGGCTTTGCTGCTTGTAAAATGGTTTTGGTCCTTTCAAATCTGCAGACCTTCTACTTATCCCGTGGGTCTCGTTCAACTTGTCTGAGTGCAGGAGTTACTGGGTAAAAGTATATCTATATATTTGCCAGACAGCCAGATTATATTGGAGTTTATGAAACAGAAATTTCTTAACATTTCTCTTTCTCCTGAGAAGCTCCCAGGTATGCTCTATGGTATGATGAGGAAATATATAGGGGGTTGAAGTGGAAGGCTTCAAGTCTGAGCAGATGGGTTGGGCTTGCTGGCTGAGGACAAGGTTGCCTCTTCATGTCTCAGTGGGACTCAGGAGGATGGCTGCCTCTTCAACCTCCAAAAAGCAGCATAGCCTAGTCTTGGCTACAGCTGCAGACGTGTGTGGCACAGGGCCGAGGTGTGGGATGCTGGTGACGGGGAATCCTGCAGACACGCACGCTGGTTGTCCTCCAGAGACCTGGGTCCTCTTACCTCCAGGGCAGCCTTTTCTGGATTGCTAGGCTGAATATTAAAAAAATAAGCTGACCACAGAGACCTTGAGCTTTTAGCTCCTTTACTGGTGGTGGGAGCTGCACTGAAAGACTTCAGCCAGGACCAAAACCGCATGGGTACAGCCGTGTCCACACTTTAAAGACCTTCCTACTTCCACATCCGCCTCCCCGCGTGGCTCTCTCCCCTCGCAGGCCAGCCCAAGATCTCCCCCACTGTTCACCTCTTCCCGCCATTCTCCGAGGAGCTCTCGCCACAGAACAAAGCCACCCTGGTGTGTCTGCTGGGACAGACTACCCTTGTGCCATGCAGGTGGCCTGGACAGCTGACGGCCGTGCCTTCACCAGTGGCATTGAGACCAGCCAGCCCCAGCGGCAGAGCAACAACCAGTACATGGCCAGCAGCTACCTGACGCTGAGTGCCAGCGACTGGAAGAGCCATGAGACCTACGTCTGCAAGGTCACACATGAGACTGACACCATCGAGAAGGTCCTGAATAGATCTGAGCACTCCTAACCCCACTGGGGAATGGACAGCCCTGGCCCTGGAACATCACATCCCCCAGCACAGTGCTTCACTGCCTGTCCCATCCCTGCTCCCTCCTTCTGTGCAAGTCTCTACCATCTCTGTGGGCCCTTCCTTCTCCCCATGCCTGAATCCCTCCCATCTCCCCTGCCCCATCCCCTCATCCTGGGCATCATCCAAATAAACCCTGAGTGTTGGCCCTGCATCCACATCTCCCAGTCCTTCTTCCTTGGTCAAATATGATCATGACCCTGCAACAAAACATGGATGCAATTGGCTGAGAGCTTAATTGCTCGCTCCCACGTCTTGAGCTTGCTGGGTTGCTGCATTTTCCCCTGCCATGGTCTGCAGCTGGTCCTCGGGTGTCCCCAGCTGGCTGCTGCCTTCCCTCCCCAGGCTCCTGCCCCAAATTCTGTTGCACCTGGGGAGCAGAGCAGGAGCCATCTCAGGTGCTGGGGCTGCAGCAGCCCTGAGTTTGGTCCGTGGGCACTGGCTTGATCTCCCACAGCAAAGGCGGGAGCTAAATTAAGTTAGAGAAAGCAGCCAGCCAGGGCTCCTCTGCTGCAATGCCCAGTGCTGACTGATGCCCCTAGCCTTCCCCTCCACCTGCAGACCAGGCCACCCGACCCAGGCATTAAACGCTGAGACCTGCACTGAGCTCTGTTAGGGCAGAAATAAAAATCCCCGTGAATTTGGCCTTCAGTCATCATGCACTGACGCAGCGATAGGCGCCTTCAGCAAACATCCTGGGGCGTGATCCTCCGTCATGGCTGACAGGCTTCGTTCACTCAGGGGGGCTCTGAACTCCCCCACACCGGAGTCAACACTGCACCAGCGCCTTTGCTGGCACCGAGATGCCAGGTGTGACGGAGGGAAGTGCTTATTTACCCTCGGTGGGATGGTCCAGCGCCCCGTGCCCAGCCCCGAGCGCAGGGCTGAGCTCTGGCACAGCGGCAGGC